GGGCCCGCCAGCGTCTGACCAAGACCAACGGGACGCTGCTGGGACCGGCGTGACCCACGCCGAGCCCCACCAGCGTGGCATCACCGGGATGCCCCACCACCCCCGTGTCCCCCAAGACCTTGTTGATCAGCGTCATGGCGAACACCAGCAGCTCCGTGTCAGCCCCGTTGCGTTGCTCCAGGATGGCCATCAGGTTGGACCACGGGCACGTGCCTGGGAAAAGCAAGAGGCGGAGGTGACACCCGGGGCCACGGGAGGGGACACGGTCCCGCAGCAGGGACCTCGCTGGAGGCTGGGGCTGCACCTACCTCTTGCCTGGTCCACAGCGTTGACGGCGCGAATGAGGAGCAGCGCGTTGGGCTCCGTGTACTCCACGAAGACCAGCTTCTGGGCACCACGGGGTGGCTGTGCCCATGCCCGGGGGCTGGGGACACTGGCCGTGGGGCCAGTGGCCAGCCGGCAGCTGTGATGTGCCAAGGGGCACCAGGAGGGAACCCTGAGCAGGACCATCTTACTCAAGCTCTGCGCCCAGGAGCATGGTCACATCAGGACAGGGAGCTCTGGGGACCCTGGGTGACTTCCACATAGGTGGGAGGAGGACCCAACACACCCGAAGGTACCAGAGCACCGAGCCCGAAGGCAGAAGGTGGGGTAAATCCCCCAAGGGACGGTGCAAGGGGACAGCCACAGGCAGGGATGGGGACAGGTCACCCCCCCAAGGGCAGCGGGACCTTACCGGGCTTCCCGACAGCGTGTACAGCCACTGGACGGTCTCGTTGTGGTTGATGACACCCTGCATCCCGTCCACGAAGAGCATGATCTGGCTCAGGGCTGCAAGGCAGAAGAGCGGGCAGTGTGACGGCGCGGCAGGCAGAGCTGCCCCAGCCCCACGCGGCATCGCCACGCCGAGGGCAAGATCTGGCAGCCGCCTCGCGAGGCAGCCCAGCCAAACTCGCGTTGTCGCCCCGCCGAGTGCCAGCCTTCCTCCCTTTGGGGACGAGAGATGCCCCGTACCCAAATACCAACCCCGGAGGATGTAATTCTGGTAGTTCTGGTCGGCCTCTGCCCCCACTTTGATCAGGCACGTCAACCCCTCCAGGTTCACGAACTCCGGCACCAGGTCCTTGTCCTCCTGCGGGGCGAAGGCCAGGCGTCACCGCGGGGGCGGGCAGCCAGACACCCCCCACCCCCGGAGTCCCCCCACTGCGCCGGCATCACCCTACCTGAAAGAGCTGCTTGAGGGAGAAGAGGGATCGCCGCAGCTCCGGCCCCTGCGAGTTGTACAGCTTCTCTGGAAGGAAAGGAGAGACGTGGCGCCATGGCCTGACCCGCACGCCGGGGCTCCCTGGTGGACCCCCGCTTCA